CTGGTCAAGGGGACAATTTGCATATTAGCTCTTTATTATATAGGATATTTACCTTCAGCCAAAATTTGCATTGTTTGGAAAGATTCACAGGCTAACTGAAAAGAGGGATGGAATAAATATTTCCAACATGGGAAACAGTCATTTAGCAGCTTAAATTCATTAGGCCACAGTTTACTAGTAGTACTAGTAAATAAATTGTTTAAAATTTTTCTAAATGTCTAGTAAAAGAAACTTTGTTTCTTTTGTCTAACTCTAATCTCAAAATCCCTGAAGCATTCCTTTTGTTGTAGTCACTTTGTTATTGACTCTCCAGATGACCTAGGGAAAGTAATTTCCCCAAAGTTGATTTTTCTCACCAGGAAAATAAGAGTATCCAGTCCACTGGCTAGTAACCTAACGGTGAGAATAAAATTATAAACTGCCTGATTTTAAAAGAAAATTGCCTTCCACCTTCCATGTTCACAATTTAATCTACAAAATAAATAATTTACCAAGTCAGTTGAGAAATTAGTAAAATGAAAGCTGGAAAGATAAACACAATCTGCAGGGGTCAAGTATGCATGGCCCAGATGGGTGGGAGGGAAATTAAAGCGAAGGTACTTGAGCTTCCAAGAATTTGGGTTGAAAAGACAACTATAGATAAAACAGATCTTGGAGTAAAAAGGAAAACAAAAATAGAAAGGGGAACTTACAAAGCTACCTATGGCTTAATGAACTTTGCTTCCATCAATCTTTAAAATTACAGTTGTTTTTGAAACTGAAATCCAGATGCCCTTGGCTGCATTTTAAGTTTTCCAGAGCTTTTATCACTGCTGTCTGGAAAGGCAAGCAGGAAGGGATGTAAAAAAAAGATGCTATCATACAGGAAGCCAAAATAAATCTATTTTGTGATGGCATCTGCTACTTTCCTTTTAATGTCACAAGTATAACAATAGAAACTTCATACTCAATAGGTAACTTCATACTGATGACAAATATTTTTAGAAAATTAGCCAAATTACCCACTGTAATTAGTTTTCTTGCAAGGTTAAATAATATAAAATTAAAAATTGCTGAGTGATTAACCTACAATTATACCAATTCCGAGCTTCTGAATTAACAAACTGCATGTGTACTTGGCTAGGAAAACCAGGATGAGAACAGGAGCAATGAATAAAATGAACTACCAGAAATCAAATTTCTTTTTGAGGGGTGGGGAGAATAGAGGACTAGACTTGCTACGAACATGAACGCTGTTTATTTCCAAGCTATGATGAGTATAAATCTGAAATTTCTACTGGGAATTGCTATTATACTAAACAAATGTATATCCTTTGCACAGTACATGCCCTGGTGCAAAGTTAATTGCAGGAAATTCCCAAGTAACTCCTTGCTCCCCACCAGACTGTATAGTAGAGGTGCTGGGTGGCCAGGCTAAGCCTTTTGCTTTCAGTTGAGTATTTGTGCTAATATGACAAAACTTTCTCATATTAGTTGTTTTGTATTAAATTAGACTTTTTTTTGTCTTTTGAATAAAGATTCTCTCAAGAATTTATAGCACAAATTAGAGTAATTCAGAATTCACAATTTTGAATTAACCTTCAATGCCAGAGGCTTTAGCAACTTATAATAAAAATTCAGTTTAGATCTCAAGATCAGGTAAGTCTAAAAGAAACAAGGTAGCCCTGATTAGGTAGCTCAGTTAGTTAGACTGCCATCCAATGGCTGTCTCTTCTTCCTTTCTAAAATTGATAAAAGTAAAGGAAAAGAAACAAGGTAAATTGAACCAGCCCTTTCTACCAGGACTTTGTAAATTGTATTTATCTGCTCCTAAAACTTTTTATGAAAAAAAACTTAAGTTTAAATAAAATTCTAAAATCTTCTTGAGGAATAGTTTGGGTTCGAGCAAAATATCAAAACAATTCTCCCATGCACAATATACTTCCGACTATGTTCTAAATATATTTCTTCTGGTTTCCTGCACTTACCTGTAATGTTAGTATGTCCATGCTCTTGTATCATGAAACATAATTCATACTCATGTAATACAAAAATAAAAGTTCACTTTGACCAATCAGGTTTAATTTATGGTACTTATTAAATGCTTTGCAAGGTAGTACAAGAACATGTTCTAACATTTTATATATGTGATGAAAACTTAGTCATGTTGGCCTTCTGCTCTTTTTCTTTTTTTAATATATTTTTATTGATTTTAGAGAGGAAGGGAGAAGAAGAGATAGCTGCCTCCTGCACAACCCCCCACTGGGGATCAAGCCCACAACCCGGGCATGTGTCCTGACTAGGAGTCAAACCCAGGATCTCTTGTTCCGTGGGATGACGCTCAATCGACTGAGCTACACCAGCCGGACTGGCCTTCTGCTTTAAAGTGTGTTCTGAACCTCTTACACTTGACACCTGCTGGTGGGAATGTAAAATGGTAAAACCACTTTGGAAAACAGTATGTCAGTACCTCAAATGGTTTAACAGTTACAGAAATTTCACCCAGTAATTTTGCCTGTAGGTAAAACACCCAAGAGAAATGAAAACATATGTCCACATTGAAATTTGTGCACAAATATTCATAACAGCCAAAAAGTAAGAACAACCCAAATATCCATCATCTGACAAATGGATAAAAATGTGATATTCCATTAAGGAATGAAGTGCTAATACATGTTACAACATAGATGAATCATGAAGAGATCATATGCAATGGGGAGGGGGGGAGCCAGTCACAAAAGACCACATATTGTATAATTCTATTTATAAGGAATGCTCAGGATAGGCAAATCTAGAGAGACAATAAGTAGATCGGTTGTTGCTAGACCTAGGAGGATAAAGGGGTAATAGCTAAAGGGTAATGGGTTTCTTTTTGAGGTGATAAAAATGTTTTATAATGAGAATGTAGTAATAACTGCAAATATACTAAAACCTATCAAATCACACACTTTAAATGGGTGAATTTAATGTATGTAAATTATAATTCAATAAAGCTGTTATTATAAAAATAATCTGTTCTGAGATGTGAGGTGCTTGAGAATTAGCAAACCTCTTCCACAAAGGTTATCTGGTCAATAGTAAAAGAATTAGTTAAACTAACGTCCAGTTTACTTTATTGTAATTGGAACCAGCTTGCAGTATTTTGTTATGTACATTTCTAAAATGTGAATGCAGTTTAAGAAAAGACATCATTACATCAGATATTCCAGGCAGCCTGCCATGAGACACTTTTACAAAAAAAAAAAAAAAAAAAATCTTAAAAGGAATCCATTTAATCAACCTCAGAGTATATGTTCTTTCTTGTCACTTCTTTTCCGTAAAGCTGTAATTTCCCCAAAACTCTCGTTAAACAGTACTGGGCACTGTTTTAGACATGTGTGTGTACATGTGTGCACACATGTGCACACAAAATCCCTGCTCCCGTGGAGCTTACAATCTAATAGAACAAGATAGCCAATAAAAAAATACTGGTTTGAAAGACAGGTTTTTAAAACAGAGTGCTGTGCTATGCCTGGCTATTATTTTAGATGGAGTGGCTAGGGAAAAAGGCTTCTCTAGGTAGGAATGTTTGAGGTGAGAAAAGTACAGTCACACAAAGATTAGAGAAGAACTCTAGGCAGAACACATAATTCTTTTTTTACAAATATTTTTATTGATTTCAGAGAGGAAGAGAGAGAGAGAATCAATGTTTGTCTGCTTGCTGCATGCCCCATACTGGGGATCGAGCCTGCAACCCAGGCATGTGCCTTGGACCGGAATCAAACCCAGGACCCCTTCAGTCCACAGGCTGACGCTCTAGCCACAGAGCCAAACTGGCTAGGGCCAGATCATTCTTAAATGGCACAATTAGGAGGAGAAAAAAGGACTAACTGTGCGCTGCTGGTAAGCAACTTTCCTCTGTGATTCTCATGTACTATCCTTGCATAAGTGTGTCTGGTAAGGTTCTCACAGATTGTGGCTGGAAAAAGATGTCTTAGATACCTTAAACCTTTAAAAGGTCTCACAACTCTTCAACAAGAGGAGGCCCTCCCTGGTTAACCCCAACCTAAAGTGATCTTTCCTCCCTCTTCTTGTATCTCTCAGCAATTGCTTGTTTGTATCACTCATTCTTTCAAATGCATTGGTGCAAGGCATGGTGTTAGGAGTGCCAGGACTTAGACAAATCAGACATGCACACCTTAAACAAAAATTAAGGCAGGAAATAATCTAGTAGCTCAAAAAACATAGGCAAAACAACAAACACAAAGTAAATGCAGGCCACAAAAAAAGAGCTATAGCACATGTAAGAGCGGCCAGAGGTTACTGCCAGCTTGAGCATCAGGGGAAGCTTTATGGGGTTAGGGCATGAGAGCAGGGAGAGTCTGTGATGTCTGAGGACTCAGATATGTGGGGGAAAAGACATACTAATTTGTTGTATTCCTAATTAACTTTAAATATATTTTAAAATATTTTTAGCTCCCCAATCAAGTTACAAGCTAAGGGAGAAAAGGCCTGATACCCCTTATATTTCTCTGTGATATATAGCATAGTATTTTGCAATGCTAAATTAGGGAATTCATTGTTGATTCACAGTACATAGATGTCAACTTCAGCACTAAAGGTAAAGCTAAATTATTATTTGCTTCATAGCAAGGTTTAGGCCTTTGAAATGATGATACCCCAAAACTCTTAATATATCATTTAATGTTTTTCTAAAAAAAAAATATTACAGATAAACATGTATACCATGTGCTTCTGAATACACACAGATATGCAAACATTTTAATATGTATCTCTATGTCTGCATATGTATATCACTATACCTTAATTTCAGAATCACACAGATTATTTTAAACCTCTGCTAAACCAAAGTTTGAACTTGAGAAAAAAATTTTCTCACTGATCAAAACTTTCCCATCCAGGCCTTCAAAATCCCTTCCCATTCCCAACAAAACATCTTAAATCAGAGAAGAAAAGCCAAACAACATTTTTTTAAGGCAGTGTCTCAACATCTCTAAAAAATATTCCATGGCCAAACTCACCATAGAGAGCTGTCCAAGTTTGATTAATTACATCTAGACACACAGTTCCTGACCTGAAACAGATGGAAAGAATGGCAATTTTTTAAAAATTAGAAAGTTAGTTGCATGTATCTGGCAACTAATTTTATTTATCAAGAAAAATACTTTTAATAGATCATTAAAAAAAATCCCAATTGGGGAAAGTATGAAGAAAAGCAGAATACAATACAGGGTGGGGCAAAAATAGGTTTACAGTTGTGAGTATGCAAAACAGAGTTTATTCTTGTATTATTATTTATTGATTATTTATTATTTTCCATACAAACAACTATAAACCTACTTCTGCCCCATCCTGTATGCAAAGTCTTAAGTGTCTCCGTACAGATTGAAAGGGAAAAACAATAGCTATACAATGGAGAAACCAACACCTGAGCCAGGTGATGAGAATTAACACTGGTAACCAGGGGCAGACAAACCTAAATGCCTCTGAATAGAATACCCTGAGGAGGACACAATCTCACTTTGTGGTTTTCTAGACTTAAGTGCATACTCTGAATGTAATAGTAAGAAAATGTCAAACAAACCCAAATTGAGGTATAGTTGTCTTATAAAATAACTGGTCTATATTCTTTAATAATGTCAATTTTATAAAAAGCTGAGGAACTGTTCCAGATTAAAGAAACATGACAACTAAATGCAATACATGACTGGATCCTTTATTAAATGAAAAAAAAGAAAAAAAACGGAAGTGCTAAAAAGTACATTGCGAGAATATGGCAGTAGGTTCAAAGTACTACTACATTAATATTCAATTCCTGAGTCAGATGACTATATTGCACTTACATAAAAGACTATCCTTGTTGTTAGGATGACTGATACATAGAAGTATTAAAGGACAATGGGGCATGATGCATGTATACAATCTACTCACACAGTGTTCAGAATACCCCACATGTATGTGTATGTGTGTATGTGCATGAAATATCAAAACTAAGAGCCAAGACAAGAAAAAAAATGCAGAATAAATAATCATGTATTCTAAACATCACCGAAGTAACAAAATAGGAGGCACTGGTATCACATTTAAAATATCACTAATATTAGAAGAAAATAAAGGGGTAATTAAGATTCAATCACTGAAATGAAACTAATCATGTTTGCTTTACTCTCATGAACTGAGAAATACCTGAAAGGGCTGAAAATAATAAATCTGTATATTAAAAACAGATCTCTGAATTGTGTCTAACAGAGAATGGAGATGTGGAATATTACAAATGCTAGTTGGCTCTCAGGGAAAACGAAGGACCCATTCATGACAATGGAAAAACTAAGCAGTCCAATAGAATTTGAACTAAGTGGTTTAGAATATCATATTCCTGGGATTTTATAGTCTAAGTGACCATTCAAGATAGTCCTATCTGCTGATAAAATCCAAAAAGATAATTGAAGCTTCTATATAATGAAGAGAGAGATGAACTCTAATCAAGAGCAGTTGCTGCTAAGATTTAAACATTTTTAAATTTACTTACGCTTCATCAATGTTGGGATGGAAAATTTTATTCATGAATCCTGTAAAAAGAGATGTTAATTAGCAGCAAAAAGTACCCAGAGAACAATTAAAGTATTTCTGTATCGGAAACATTTTCAGATTGGGAAAAGGTGATGATACTCATAACTCATTACCTTTCAATCTTAGATCTTTTTTATACTGATAAGACTATATATTCTCCTTACAATGGCATTTACTTAAAATACATTAGAGTTCTATTTTAAAAATGCACAAACTCTGAGAGCAATGCAGCCTCTTATACAAAATGATCATTAAAAGAAATGGTTTTCAGAGTTATGAAGGTACTCGCCAAGAAAACTGACAGTCTTAAATGGTTTATAACTAGTGTCCTGATAAAAGTTAAGAAAGCTACTGTCTGACTCCCCTCCCCCAAGTTTTATTGTTCAATTTCTAAATTAGGAGGTTCTGCATTTGAACTTCTCTTTCAGAAGCTCAGTTACTGGTATTGTTCTGCTACACTGTGTGCGGAACATGAATGAAACTGTTGAAATGCTAAAGGAGTACTGCTTCCAAACCACAGGATTTCATAAGAGCGGTGACCAAAATGTTTCCTTTAACTTTAGTCTACTCATTCCAGGAAACCCAATTTTGATTAAAATTGGGGCAACCGAGGAATGAGGCAAGGTGTTGAAGAAAAAAAATTCTGTAAGATGGCTAGGTCTGTCAGGGATCCAAGTTTTTTTTTTTTTAATTTATTCCTAGAAAAAGAAGTATAAACTTTAACAAATATATCGATATTTCAATTCCAAGAAGAAATGAATTTTTGTAATGTAAAACTGGTGATTTAATCAGCCTGTATGTATGCAGATGACAATATTCTAAAACAGAGATCCACTGTCAAAGCTGTCATTTTACCACCCTTATCACCTCACTTCCTTTCAAAACTTCCTATCCCATTTCACTTTCAATAAACTGAAATTCCTTACTAAAGTGACCATCCTTATTTCCCACTCCCACTCTCTCACCCCCCCCTCACATGGTCTCACTTTCCTTTATTCAAAATATATTTGGTCAACGCCTATGTTTCAGGCACTGTGGTTGTTTAGGGTACAAAATAAGTAAGACTACACTAGTCTCGAGGAGGTTGCTGTAGCAGTGGGATAAGAGACATGAAGAAGTAGCTGTAATGTGTGCACAGAGCTGATACAGTCAGGGAAGAGGAAGCTGTTAGGAAAGATGCAGAGAAGTGGCGTCAGAGGAAGACCCTCAAGGATGAGTCATGACAGAGGACATCTCAGAAAAACCTAAGAAACTTCTTTAGACTTAGAAAGGGGGGATAATACACGAAATCCCAGGTATGCCAGTCTCTGCTTGCTCTAGCCACTCCAAGTATTAACTATGCTTCTAATTTTTACTTTTTAATCCTTTGTGTTGAAATAGCTTAATGTTTTATCTACTACTATTAAGAGAACCCATGCAATGTTTAAATTACTCTGATGTAGAAAGAAAAGCCTTATGTCCAATTACAATTTCATATTAATTTTTCATTATGGAAATGAAAGAGGTTTCAAAGTCTAGATTTAAGAGTTATGTGTTCATGAAGAGATTATACTAAAGCCAATGGAAATGCTCATGTTTTAAGGTTAAGAGGAGAAAAAGCAGGATACAAATCTACATGATCCTAGAAAAACACTAATACATGTGTTCTAGAAGACCTATGAGGATTACTCGTTGCAGCATTATTTATAAAAGCTAAGAAACAAATTTAACCCCATCAAAAACGACTGGAGAAACTGTAGTATATCCATATACTGGGAGTCCTATACAGCCAAAGAAATGAACTAGATCAGTAAGTACCAACTTGGATAGATCCAAACCTGAGAGGGAAAATAGTTGCAGAATGACATATTACAGCATGACACCGTTTAAAGCAGGGGTCCTCAAACTTTTTAAACAGGGGCCAGTTCACTGTCCCTCAGACCGTTGGAGGGCTGGACTATAGTTTAAAAAAAAACTATGAACAAATTCCTATGCACACTGCACATATCTTATTTTGAAGTAAAAAAACAAATGTTTTCAGTGGGCCACATGTGGCCCGCGGGCCGCAGTTTGAGGACCCCTGGTAAAGAAACTAAAACAAAGCAACGCTACATATTCTCTATGGTAGCAAGTACGGAAACTGTACTGGGCCTATATATCAAACTTACAAAAGCAATTATTTCAGTGAGAGTGCAGGGCCAATGGTGGAATTAGGAAACAGAATGGGGAATGGCAATTAAAGATGAATTTATCTATAACACTTATATGCCTTTTAAAAAGACAGAATGTGCTTGTATATTATTTGCTCCATTTTTTAAAAAGTGTGCACATAAAAGGAAACTGCAAGCAAATATGTACAACTGCTAACAGTGCTTAATTCTTCGTGGTGGAAATATTTTCTCCCATTTTCAAATCACACTCCCATTCCAGACATAGGATCACAAGCAATGTAAAAAGGTCAGAGGGAAACAAACAAGTGTCCATGGCAGTCAACTTTAGAGACCCCCATTATTTCTACTACTACTTTTCTGACTTGCCAAATGTCTACAATGCGAAGCTGAAAAAAACTTTGACAAATTTTTTTGTTGTTGTTAATCCTCACCTGAGGATATTTTCCCATTGATTTTTAAATGTAAATATATATATAATTTTATTGATTTCAGAGAAGAAGAAGGGAGAGATAGAAACATCAATGATAAGAGAGAATCATTGATCAGCTGCCTCCTGCACTCCCCCCACTGGGGATCGAGCCCGCAACCCTGACAGGAAATTGAACAGTGACCTCCTGGTTCACAGGTTGATGCTCAACCACTGAGCCACACCAGTCAGGCTCCATTGATTTTTCAGAGAGTGGAAGGGAGGGAAAGAGACACAGAGAAACATCGATTGATGGCCTCCCACGTGAGCCCTGACCAGGGCTGGGATCTGAGGTCTGTGCCCTTGACCAGAATTGAACCCGGGACCCTTCAGTCTGTGGACCGATGCTTTATACACTGAGCCAAACCAGCTAGGGCAAAAAAAGCTTTCAAATAAAAGTTATAAACAGTATAGCAAACATTCTAAAATAAACCTAATTAGCCTAGCTGGTGTGTCTCAGTGGTTGAGTGTCAACCCATGTACCAGGAGGTCATGGTTCGACTCCCGGTCGGGGCGTGCAGGAGGCAGCCGATCAATGATTCTCATTATTGATGTTTCGATCTCTGAAATCAATTTTAAAAAAAGTTACGGTTATTAAAAAAATATTAAAGTAAACCTAATTATACATAGGTTATCTAGTGCTGCAATCTTTTAAGGAAAAGCATCACTGAAATCAACTATTTTATTTGAGGTCTCATATTTTAAACCCTTTGTTTAAATAATACAAATTCATTACAAAAAAACAGAAGATCCTCAGGTTGTTAGGCACCTGGTCCTCAAGATTAGTTACATATATTAGGAACATACTACTATCACAACTGCCAAGAAACATTCTGGTGCATGGAAAACACTAATGTTTAGGCACTATAAGGTTTAATTCAAGACATTTGTTCTATTATGTGAAAAATATTTTGCTTGAAGCTACAATTAAGAACTTAAAAATTCATCTTGATACTTAAAATCCTGCTCCTGCTAGAATTCTCCTTACTAAAACCTAGTGAAGCAACACCTTTGGCAGAAGTTTCCTGTGCTGTAAGGAAAGTGCTGCCCGTGCGGGTCTTGTTCAGTGGTTAAAGCATTGGCCTGCAGACTGAAGGGTTATGCATTCATTTCCGGTCAAGAGCACGTACCGTGGTTGTAGGCTCAATCCCGCATGCGGGAGGCAACCAATCAATGTGTCTCTTTCACATCGATGTTTCTCTCTCTGTGTCTCCCCCGTCCCTTCCACTCTCTCTAAAAATCAATGGAAAAAATTATACTCGGGTAAGGATTAAAAAACAAAAACAAACAAATGCTTTGCAGCGGTTCTCAACCTGTGGGTCGCGACCCCTTTGGATGTTGGACAACCCTTTCAGAGGGGTCGCCTAAGACCATCCCGCATATCAGATATTTACATTACGATTCATAACAGTAGCAAAATTACAGTTATGAAGTAGCAACGAAAATAGTTTTATGGTTGGGGGTCACAACATGAGGAACTGTTTTAAAGGGCCAGAAGGTTGAGAACCACTGCTTTAGAGGGTGGCAAGGGTTATGGAGAAAACACAGCAAAGCAATGGACCCAGTGGGGGTCCTAATATATGGTGACGGGAGAAGATTTGACTTTAGGCGGTGGGCACATGGTGCAATATACAGATCTTGTAACATAGAAACCCACACCTGAAACCTGTATGTTCATGTTGACCAATGTCCCCCAATAAATATATTTTTAAAAATTAAACTAAATAAAAAAAGAAGGGGACTCAGAATAGGAATGCTGGGGTGGGGGCTGCAATTTTAAATAGGATAGTCAGGGAGGGCCTTACGGAGAAGCTGACTTAATTTGACAGAGATGAGGGAGGATTATTCATTATCTAGGAGGAAGAATGTTCACCTAGCACAAATAGCCAAGTGCAAAGTGCACCAGGAGTTTGCCTGATGTGTTAGAAGACCAGCAAAGTAAGTAAGTAGTAAAACTAAAGTGGAGTGAATAAAGGACAGAAGACTAGTCGTGAGAACAGAGAGGTGATGAGTATTTGTGGGCCCTTTTAAGGATGCTGGCTTTCATTGAGTAAGGTGGGAAGCCTGCTGGGTAAAGAATGATGGGGAATGGCAGATCCCAAGACTGAATGAAGCTTCAGCAACTTACGTCACAGGGAATTTCAAAAGTATACGCCAAGAAAACAGCTATGATGAAAGACCTCTATATGTTTATGGAAACTGTCTCTGAAAGGTTAAGGTGCCTCCCTCCTTGTACAAGGCCTGGAAATTACATTTGGAATCAATACAGTTTCCACACTCTTTTCAATTAAATCTAGATTTTTGACTTGGTTGAGTCTAAGAGTACATAATAGAGAGGGGCAAAAAGGACTTAGTAAACATATTCTTAAGTAATAAATGGTCGTTGGAACCCAGTCCCCAGTGCCCTTACTAAGTATAAAACACTATCTGAGACAGGGATAGAATCAGACTAAAAAGAGAAAAGTACTAACAGAGTCTTGGGGCTAGTCTCAACTCTGCTATTAACTGCAGCAGACCCAGTGGGGGTCCTAATATATGATGATGTCACTTCTGTGGGCCTGTTTCTCTACCTGCAAAGAGAAGTAGCTAGACTATATAATCTCTACAATATCCAATATTATTCTGTTTGTAAAGGGATTATCAGCTCTAAAAATGTAGGATTTAATAACAATGGCCAGAGTTCTGAATACAGAGGACTTAAGGGGAAATGTCCAGAGATTAAGTCCTTAAAGAAAATTTATTCTATAAGACACATTTTTAGAAAAAGAAGTATTCTGGAGAATACAAAGCTACCAACATGCTAAAATACCACCAAGAGACACAAAATCTGCTGACTCTTCCAAAGTAGGCAGAAAACAGGGTTTATAACCTGGCCTCTGAGGAGCAAGCACAGCCAGACCAACCAACTCTAACAATTTCCAGGCTACAGTGCTCGCTTCCTATACAGGGCTTCTCAATTGTTAGAAAAATACCCAAAGCAAATAACTGGAAGTGAGCATATATATCTCTTGCACATCTGTTCTCAGAAAAAGCCATTTACATTCTGGATAATGAGGGCAACAATGGAACTTTTGGACAAGGAGGGGAGCCGATGAGAAAGAGCAGGCTAGGAATTCAGAGAAGGAACGTTCTCAGGGCTGAGCATGTTTGCCCTGGCATGTTCTCCTTCCTTTTGGCAATGCTCACACCACACTAACGAATACATCTGCAACAAGAGAATTTTCCCAACACTTGTTTCCATTCAACCAGGAACTATTTTGAAGATATTTTAAGAGAATATATTTTGAAAACTGCTTTTATGGAAACATGATAAGTGGACGCAACAAGTCATTTTTAATCTACATGACTTAAGATTTTAGTCATTACTAGATATTTTCTAGTTATGTATTTCAATGATTTGACCACATAAAATTCAGAACTCCTTTGTTTTAAATCTTTTGGACAATTATTCTCTGGCATGGCTCAAGCACTTGTGAAAAAGGGTAGATAATAAACAAATGTTTAACTACAAAGCTCACCACCTCTTTTTTTCTTTTAGCAAAAGAGAATCGGGTGATTTATAATTCTGGAGGAGAAATGCAAATCATACTTAGTTGATGCAAAACTACATATTTAAAACAATAATTGCATAGAATATTAAAATAGAAAATGCCATGCTTTTGGTTTGTTTCACTCTAACACTCAACTGCTCTAGAATAACAACTCTCTTGACCCATAGGCTAATAGGCAGAGAAAGTAAACAACATTGTGCCCAGTCATGCTGAAGAACTGTTTTTCATTTCAGCCTGTTTCTGTGTCAATCTCAAGAGGGGATCTGTACAAAGTTGCACACACTTTTAAGTAACTTCTGATATTGGGGTCAATATGTAAATAAAAGAGGCAAAGACTCCTTGTATTTTTCACCTTTGCTTCCTTTACTTGTGAGGATATTTTTAATGATTAAATTTGTGGATAGAATGAAATACTACCTAGGGCCAGTCATCTATCCAGAAATTTCATTTAGAATAATCTTCAAAATATGAGAGATCAAACGAGTGACTCATGAAACAAAGTAAGCCAACTCTAAGGTAAATAGGTGAAAAAGTGCCAAAGGCAAAAAACAATAGCTCTCTTCCAGGGATAAAATGATCCTGGACTGCAGATGGTTGAGGCAGCTGTGGCTGATGCAATTTAATTATAAGCTTATAAAGTCCTGTGAGAAACAAGAGAATACATTGAATTATTCTAATATTCCATCATCAGGACAAATGCTCACATAAAGGAGATCATTCAGAATCAAACTGATTAATTCTATTTTTTAAAGTAGGTATAATTATTTAAAATATGCTTAAAGATTGAATCTTATCTTGCCTATCAGTATATCAGACTATATACTCTTTAAGGGCAACAACCTGGATCTCCATTCCTAGCATGCAGGAGGAGGTGATTAGAGTTGGGGACACTGCCAGCTGCACTAGCGACACTGCCAGCCCTGTGCATTAATGCACATTTGATAGATTATCATCTTACCTCAGACAGCCAGGCTCAGCCCATGGCAGCCTGCACCCGAGTAGAAGTCTCTTCAGAGAGCTGAGCCTTCCCTACTCGGGAGAGATGGACCTGGGCCGGTCTCTTCTTGGGTGAGGAACCAAGCAAGGAGCTCACTCTCAATGCCCTGTGTCATGGGAACTTCTGAACTGATCCTGTGTGTGTTCAGGAGATCTAAACTCAACAAGGGGTCCTCTTTTCTGTTTCTTCCTTTCTCTCTGATAATATGGAGTCTGAGGAGGACTGGGCTGGGTGGATAAGAAAAGGTCATTTATAACTAAGAAAAGGTGAAGTGTTATCCTTCAACAGCATAACCTTCTCCCAACCTAGCAGATTACCAAAACCTACACCCTTAAACCTACTCTTCTGTAGTTTCATTTTAGAAGATTGTAATCACTTTCCTGTTTCCACAGTTTATCTTTCACTTTCCTAGTCATTCATATAACCATACTGAGTCAGGCGGTATTTATTTTCATGGTCAGAGGCAGTAAAATATAGAAGACACTGGACTTCAAATTTCGAGACCCAATTCTAAGTCTCTGCCACTTATATTAAACAAAGTCATGGTGGGGGGAAAAAAAACACACAAAGTCATGGTGGTTAAAAAATCAGACTCCAGTCAGACCGCCTAAGTTCCCCTCTATGAACTTTGGGCAAGTTAGTTACTCAACCTCCACCTTTCTATTTCCTTAATCATAAAGCTAGGTTAAATAATGGTATCTACACAGAATAGGACTGTCATGAAGGTTAAATGAATTAATATATATATAGCATTTGACCAATAAATGGTACACAGTAAGCACTCAATAATATTACAATTAGTTTAATGAGCTCAATCAAGTAATTTCATCTTATTTTCCTCATGGTAAAAATAAAAATACTACTTCTACATACCCATCCATACCTTAATCCTGTAGGAATTGTAAAGAGTAGTAAAGGATATTTTGATTATGGGACACTGGGTTTCCTATAACCCCATCACACTGAAAATGGAAAAGTACAGTTGTTCTACTATTTATTATTAAAAAGAATATTCTGATTGCATTTTGTTTTTTTGGGGAAAAACACTAGCCTGGAGGCCAGAAGGCAGGCGCTGCAACTAGTTAGTTTATATATCTTCCACCTTCCTGAGTCTCATTTTTACCATCCTTAAGATGAAGCACCTGGATGGTATAATCTCTGAAATTCCTTCAAGTAATATGGTTTTCACCAGCATCAGGAATATAAACAAATCTTAAATTGTGTGAACAAGCTTTTCAAAGGGAACTAGGACAATATTCTGACTTGTTTTTATTTTTTTTCTGACTTGTTTTTAAAAGAATTTCACTTTAACTAAAGAAAAAGGAAGCCAAGAACACATGTTTTCATTGTACCAATCCTCAAGTGGAAGGAATGGATTTAACGCCAAAAAGATGACAGAATAACCAGGTCAAAAGCTAGAGGTCTCCTGCTCTAGTTAAAGCAGGGGCTAACCTAAACAGCAAGTTAGACAGGATTTTTATATAACAAATGGACAGTATAGAATAAAGAATTGCAAAATTAAAACTGACATAAGCCAGATTCAAGAAGGAAGTGGACACATCTAACAGAAGCAAGCATGTGCAAAGGCAAGGCTGCCCTTAGAGGTGGACTGGAGGAGGGGGAGGGGAAGATAACTACTATTTTTACTCTGGCTAATAATAAGAAGCTGAATGAATTGAGATATTATAGACCGCTAACAGCAGGTTTTCATTAATAGGGCCAATCTGACCACTGGTTTCTTCTGTCCCTGAACACCCGGCCCCCAAGTCTCTCTTTCCCCCCAACGCCTGTAATTTAAATGACATTATCACCTTTACAGACCACACTCCAGACACCCTGGCTTCTCAGTCAGTTCCTTAAGTTTCTCCTCAGTGATCTTTCCTCTATTCTCTTTCATACTCCCAGGACACATCTTGAATGTTTTCATCTCCACAAACAGCCTCACCTCCCAACTCACAAATTCAGACACCCTCTTCCCCATCACAGTCTCCAATCCCTGTCAAAGAGCTTCCTACCCCATCAACAATTCTTTCATCTGTGAACTCTAATCCATTGATCCTCCCTTTTCTTCCTACCTATCAGCCCTATCTTTCTCCTTTGCTCAACTTAAGATTTAAGAGCCATTACCATCACCATTCTCTAACAATCCTTTGCAAATCCCTGACCTTCTCCCCAAATGCCCATCTACAACTGGAGGAAACCAAACGTTCACACCCTCTAAACTTAGACTTGAGGATGCCACTAAGTAAGCAGTCATTTATTTACTCCACAAATACAGCTGACCCTTGAACAATGTGGGTTTGAACTGTACAGGTCCACTTATATGAGGAGTTTTTCAATTGACCCATGCAGTTCAAACCTGCATTGTTCAAGGGGCAACTCCTTGGTTGGGAACCCGCAGATTCAAAGGGCCAACTTTATATGTGATTTTCAACTGTATAGGAGGTCAGCACTCCTAACTCTGCACTGTTCAAGGGTCAACTGTATTCTTCTACAGAACAGGCACTGTATCAGATTCTGAGACAGAGAGAAGGGCTTGTTAGTAAAACAGACCCAGAGACAGCCTTCATGGAGTTTCTATGGGTTGGCAAGGAAGAGAGATATAAGTAAACAAATGTACCAACTTTGGCCAGGCTGGCGTGGCTCAGTGGGTAAGCATCAACCTATGAACCGGGAGGTCACAGGTTCGATTCCCAGTCAGGGCACATGCCCAGGTTACGAACTCGATCCCCAGTAGGGGGCGTGCAGGAGGCAGCCAATCAATGATTCTCTCTCATCATTGATGTTTCTATATGCTCAGCCCAGATGGTGTGGCTTAGTGGTTGAGCATCAACCTATGAACCAGGAGGTCACGGTTCAATTTCCAGTCAGGACGGGCTATCGGGGTCAATGGGAGAAAAAGGGGGACATATGTAATACTTTCAACAATAAAGATTTTAAGATAAATAAACAAAACAAGCAAAACCTCCCTTATATCTTCCTCTTGGTATCATGCACATTTGTATGATTTCCTTAATTTAGCCAATTTCTTCAAAGCAATGTATATCTACACGGGAGTTTCTTCTCAGCTTTGGCCTCTTGATCCAAAACCATGATCCAAATTACGAGTATCTCTACTCTTTCCCTACATCAGTCGAGTGACCATTAAAATATGCTTAAAATCTTTCAATGGCTTTCCCATTTCATTAAAAATGAAACTCAACCTTTTAACCTGGCCTTAAAAGCCCTAGGAGACCGTCAGCTGCCCGACATAAACCTTTTTAAAAATCCATCCTGAAAAACTTCATTTTCAAAACATCAGTAAAAAGAACTTTTGCCAGTTTTTACATTCTCATAGCATTATCTAGAAAGTTTATAAAACTTCCCTATTAGAAATTTGTTTCTCTCTACTGGAATTCAAAAGCTATAGATCACTACCAGAGTAGCAATTATTTAACTGTTTGAGACAGGAATTAAATTCAAACCCAAGTTCATGAAAGTAGAGAACTATACAGGTGACCTTAATGGAATTATGCTTTCTCAGTCTAAGAATTCATTCTGTTTGTGGAAATACGGTGGTTCAAGCAGGCCTTTATTAAATGACTAATCCAAAACCTCTCATGAATGACACACACTCCTCTAATCTAAATTCTGGTCCATCCCTGACAAAACTTAAGTTACTCAAACTAGTTCCTGAAGGAATATAATGTTTCCACCTATGAAGACACAAAATAAAATGGTAAATATTCTAAACTTTATAGTTAGCTTAGTTATACCATATTAGAAGACTCCATTCTAAAGATATTGTGAGGTAATTTCTGGTCATAGTGAAATAAAAATAATAATGCCAGAAGAGTATGCCATTTGGGCAGTAAAGGAGGTTTAATCAGCCCAGCCAGTGTGGCTCAGTGGTTGAGCATTGACCTATGAACCAAGGGGTGGGGGTAGGGTGGGGTGTGTAGGAGGCAGCCAATAAATGATTCTCTCTCATCACTGATGTTTCTCTCTCTCCCTCTCTCTGAAATCAATAAAAAAATATTTTTTTAAAAAAGGTTAAATTGCTTCCCTGAATTGCTGGCATAAGTAAAAAGAATATGATGCAATGATTATTAGAGCATCTTTTAATTAAGAACCGATGGCAGCCCTGGTTGGTGTGGCTCAGTTGGTAGGAGCATTGTCCTGTACACTGAAAGGTTGAGGGTTCAATTCCTAGTCAGGACACATACCAGTAACCAATTGATGTTTCTCTCTCACATCGGTGTCTCTGTCTCTCTCTCCCTTTTCCCCTCTCCCTAGAAATCAGTGTACTTGTCCTCGGGTAAGGATTAGAAAAAACAAATAAACAAAAAACTTACAGCAAATTGGGAGATTTAGAAAGGGACTCTGACATGTTATTTAATCTAGTTTCCCTTGGAACAGGATGATCTAAACCATTCTATTTAAATGAAAATCTGACCTAACTGTGAAGGCCATTAGTATAGTGTCATATAGTAATTTAACTATTATTATTGCCTATGACTTTTTCACTTTGTCTCCATTTACTCAGTGGGCTGGCTTATTCATGCTATATGCTACTGACATCAAATTCCACTGCAGAATGAACAGAGGTTTTTCCTGGGCATTCTAATCAGCATTCAGCAAACCATTAAGTGGTCCCTCCAAAATCCTGTTCTCAACCAACCATTCCTCTACACGCTCAGCTTTGGTATCATCAAATTGCAGTCCAGACACACAGCCTGCAGTACATACAGCCTGCCCCTGGGAGAGGCTGTTCCTCACTGTTAATATAGAGATACACATAAACAGTATTTCAAAAGTTAGTTTCTAGACTTGTTAGCTGGATCTTACAACATAGTTTTCTATTAAAAAAAAAAAGTATAAATAGTGACCGAGTACCCAGACTGGTCATAAGGTTATTTACAAAAGATTCTAAAATATTCTATAGTTCTATTTGAAATTAGTAGAATGCAGTTCTGTTACTATATTAGCCAGTAATAATTTAAAAATAAGGTTAAATGACAACTCTCTTAAATGCAAGTGTTTAAGTAAAGTAGGTATGATCTGATGAAGACTACGGTATATCCTGGAGGGGACTTAAAGGTACTTTCAAGACCATTAGACACTAAAAAACTCAAATCTACTATTTCATGTCTATATTTTATTAGAAGATATATTATATTTTCCCTCAGTTTTAATAAAAGTAGTACTGTTGTTATTATTAGCTATGTACAGGGCCCTTTTTTAATTC